CCCCCGGCCCGCCGGCTCCGGGCCCTACCGAGCACGGAGCGAGCCCCCGGCCCGGCGCAGCTGGGCCCTGTCCCCTTGGCCTGCCAGCTGTCCCAAAAGGCGGCCGCCAGCCGTGCCCCCCTCCGGTGAGGTGCCGCCCGCAGCAGCCATTTTAAGGTGCCCGCCAAGACCCCACAGAGCGTTCCCGCTCTCCCGCTGCGGGGTTCCCCGCCGGCCCCCCCCCGGCTCTCGGCGGTAAGGGCCTGCAGAGGCCGCCTCCTCCCGGACCTGCCCGGGGAAGAGAAGGGGGCCCTTGCTCAGCGAGCTCCGTCCAGCTTCATGGCTTGGTGTGCCCGTGGCTGCAGAGAACTTGTGGAAAAATCAGCCCAAATGGTTATTCAAAATCTCCTGTGACATTCCTGCGCGCTCTCGGGCTGCAGGTAAGCTGCTAGCCATAAACTTGGAATAACAGCTCTGTACAAATCGTTAAGGAAGCGAAAATCTTAGTTGCTCCTCATAAAGTATTTGGGGGTCGGCAGAAATCACTCTTGCACAACTGTGTAGCATGATTGATTCCACATATAGCCCTTGTGCCTGATTCGAGTAGGAGAAAGCCTCTATATGCACTTAACTTGCTAGTAAAAATTGCACTCGACATAAGATGCATGGATTCAGGAGTTTCTTTTTCTTGTTTTAAACAACAGCAGCAAAAAAAACCCCAAACCAAACAAATGTACTTGCAGAGAGGGCAATTAGCACCAGCTATGCACATACACGGAGTATCACAGACCAAATAGCCTGCATGAACATTTTTAAGTTTAAACCCCCTTTGTTTTTCAAAATATTTACTTAAACAAATTGACAGTAGCATCAACACAGTTGACAATTTCAATACTTCAAATGGGGTGCTCCGATCACATCAAATAGGAAGCACTTTACAGAAGCCCACACCAAGTAGTGATGGGGTAACACCGCCTAAATGGATGTATTGTCAACCCCGTTCCTCTCCTATAGGCCATGTTTTACTTTCGGAGTAAATCCCCCCAAACCAGGCAAGTCCATTGGTGGGCAGCTTGGCAGCAGGTTTGTACCTCTTGACTTCTCCCACCCAGATTCACCACATGACCTTTTCCCTTTAAAGAGGCTTAAATTTCTCACTTTTTAAATTCTCTTTTCAGTGCTTCAGTAAACTCATGAAATAAGAACTGAAGGCATCTGCTTATTTGCAGAACATCACAGGAATATCAAGGACAACTTCTCTCCGCTAGTACTAGGTAAATAGGGTCAAGAGACCACTATGTATATGCTGTGCCTGTTAAGAAGTACTTCAGTGGAATTGCCAACTCACTGCAGAATTTGTGATGTAAATAACTGTTTGTCCAAGGAACTAGATAGTTCATATCTCT